CCAGCTTTTAAAAAAAATTTTTTAAATTTTATTTTTATTATTTGTGTGTGTGTACTGTCAAATCAGATTGGACTGGTACAGGAGGAAATTGTTCCTCCTTCTCCAGCAAAGCATCTTGTAGATTTGAACTGCCCACCTCTCAGACTGCAGAGCAGCTTCTTGCCACTAGACCACCAGAGCTCGCTTATTTCCAGCTTTTTCAGAAAGCACCACACTGCCTTCCATAGTGGTTGCACCATTTTACACTCACATCAGCAGTGAATAAGGGTTGCAATTTCTCCGTTACCTGGCCAGCATTTGTTGTTTGTTGCTCTGCTGAACTTTGCTATTGTTACTGGGGTGAGATGATATCTCATAGTTGTTTTGATTTGCATCTCTCTCAGCATTAGGGATTTTGAACATTTCTTCATGTCTTTGTTTGCCACCTGAATGTATTCTTTGATGAAATGTCTATTCATATTCTCTGTCCATTTTGTGATTGGGTTGTTTATCTTTTTCTTGCTGAGGTGCTGGAGTATTCTATAAATTTTAGATAGGAGTTCCGTCTCAGATATGCCATTACCAAATAATTTTCCCCAGCTTGTGGGTTTCCTTTTGACCCTGTTGGAGAAGTTTTTTGATATTCATCGGGATTTGATTCTTAGAAGATCCCAATTGAGCTCTGGTGGCCTAGTGGCAAGAGGCTGCACTGCAATCCCAGAGGTGAGCTGTTCAAATCCAGCAGATGCTCTGCTGGAGAAGGAGGGACAATCTCCTCCTGTACCAGTCAGATCCGATTTGATAGTACACATACAAAAAAATAATCAGAAGATCCCAATCATCTATTTTATTCTTTCCTAGCTGTAGTTTTATTAAAATGCTTGGAATACTGTTCATGTTGTGAATTAGGGCTTCTAGAGTTCTTCCAACCTTTTATCTGATGAAGTTTATAGTTATAAAATATATTAATAAAAGAAAAATGATACTAAAGGTTTAGAGCATAAACATATTTATGTCATATGCATACAGCCAAATAACTTTTACTTTATTCTTCCTGGATCATTTGAGCCACCATTTCCATTGGCGATAAGGCTTCAGAGAAGATGTCACTTTTTCATTAAGTGATGCACTAAAGAATGATTTAATAAGACCTCATGACACACAGACTGTCATCATGCTGGGACTCTCTCATGGCTCTGTGGGTTTCCTGAGGCTATATTAGCACAGGAGGGAATTGTGCATCTTTTTCCATGGAGCCTTGGGTGGATTTGAACCATCAGAGAGGCACACCCTTTAGGTTAGCAGTACAACTCCCTACAGACTACACCACTAGAGTTTCTTTTAGAGAGAGCGCCGTACCGCCTTCCACAGTGTTTGCACCATTTTACACTCCCACCGGCAGTGAATAAGGGTTCTAGTTTCTCCACAACCTTGCCAGCATTTGTTGTTTGCTGCTCTGTTAAATTTTGCTATTCTTACTGGGGTGAGATGGTAACCACTAGAGCTTCTTAACGTCATGCCAATAGATGCTAAAATAACTCCTGATTCATAGTTAATTTTTATAAACACTGAGTGAAACATTTTTAAATTCTCTGATTTTAGTGGATTTCTTTGTATTGACAGTTTTCTGACCTTAGAAAATCTTGTTTAATGATAAATAATTTAAAAGCACAGACAAGGGAGTGTAAAATGGTGCAACCCCTGTGGAAAGCAGTATGGCGCTTTCTCAAAAAGATGCAAATAGAGATACCATTTGACCCAGCAATTCCACTACTGGGAATATACCCTGAAGAGACCATAGCTGACATCCAAGCAGATATATGCACACCCA